AAAAGTTAATTTTTTTAAAGGATGAAAAGGGTGTCAGCCATTAAACCCCTCCAGATCCCTTATCTCTCAGGCCTGAACCTTAGTCTGAATGGCTGTCAGAGGAGGAGAAGGAGGAACTTGGGACACACAAGTTTGGTTCAAAGAAAAAAAACCACCATGGCAAAATTGAGACCAACTGAAGCCCGCAAGCTGGAGCAGGGACGACGAGGCCTTGGACGCAGAGAGGTAGCCTCAGAAACCACACAGGCACTTCTGCCCTGTCGCACAGAATGGACTCGATTGCAGCGAGATTGGTGGTTTGAGGTTTTTTGGTTGGTTTTGTTTGGTTTAGCCCTCAAATTCATGGCTTTACATGTCAGTACTTGAAAGAAGTCTTTTGCAGTAGATCTGCATGCTATTTATTGCTCATCATATGATTTCTTGATTGCTGCTTCAATGACTGTTGAATGTGGATCCAAGTATAATGAAATCCTTGTCAAGGTCAATATTTACTGCTTGTCATGAGGCTCACTGGTTCAGTTGTAAGGATTTCTGTTTCCTGTGTGTTGAGGGGGTCTCTCTCTTGAATAGTGTAGTCTTTGATCTTCCTGGGTAAATATTTCATGTTCTTCCCTTTCAGAGAAGTGGTGTCATCTGCATATCATGAACAGGTTGTTCATGAGTCGTTTGTCAATCCCAAAGCTTTCTTCTTGCAGTCTAAATATGAAAAAAAATTCATATTTAAGCTCATTATGAAGCTTAAATATGAAAGGATACGATGCTGACGCACACTTTTCCTGGTTGTACACCCTGCGGTATTCCCTTGTGTTGTTGGAGCGCTCTTCTCTTCATCTCCCACATGAGCACAATTAACAGTTCTGGAATTCCCATTGTTCCTGATGTAGACATTAAAATGCCTTTCCATAGTGCAATTAAACGTAAGCCTCATGGTAGTCTCTGCTTTTAGCCAAGATCCATATGCCATCACCAATGACGTCCTCATTCCACATCCTCTCCTGAATCTGGCTTCAGCTTTTTGCACTGCACTGTTGATGCTCTGCTACAGCTGTTTTTCCAAAAGATCCCCCAGCAAAATTTTACTTGTATGTGCTATTAATATTGTTCAGTAATTTCCACATTCTGTTGGAACACATTGCTTGAAGCACGGATGGAGATCAAAAGC